GATTGTTACATTTTGCGTGTGAACTTTAGTAATGGACTTTTTTACAGCAAGTTTTAGTTGCTCCATCTCAGTCTATCCTGAGACATCTGATGTTTCCTGGTCCTTTATGCACAAGGTGACACGTTTACTCTTAGTCTCTGAGTCTTCCAGAGAGCAGGGGCTGTACATGAACGACCCAACGAATCACAAAGACTTTACCTGAATCCATGCCTGCTGCTTAATATCGCCTTTGTGGGTTTTACCTTCATAACCTTTGCCTCCATACTTCTGATCTTCGCTTATGCATTTCACGTGGTTTTTATAGTCATCACCCCTTTAAAGTGAGAAAAAATTACGCCATTAGACTGACCCCATACTGGAGGCCCCTTCTAATGCTAGTATGCTGCTTCCACCTTCTGTAGCCCACAGTTTTATTTCACAACTGTCCACTGCCTAAGCTCCCCATGTATTTCACTTACCATGCTTACAATCTACCGGTCATAACTACCTATTTCCTTCCTCCAAATTGTTCAACTTTTCACCCATTTTTTATATGAAATGTCTTAAACCAAACTGACACGTGGCTTTTCTTTTTGTAGTAATAAGTGAATATATACCAAATAAGAAAAATAATTCTCTGCAATTGGGTGGTTTTATTTTAAATTGCAAAAATTTGCATGAGTTCCTGATAACACAGTAGGGAATCAATAACTAGCTGTGGGATAAATTAGCTGTAAAATAACATGTTCATATCAGGTCACCAAAAAGTCCTGAATCCTGGAGTCTTGAAAAAAGAAACTCAATCTCTTGTATACAATCTTTGTAAACTTCTATGGGATTCCTTGGGGAAATGTTAGAGGCGAGGTGGGGGACAAGTACCCTCAAAAGACATAACTCAGTTTTTCTCTGCTTTATTGATCAGGCTTTTTCTGAGGCTTAGGTCTGACCATCCATGTTAGCAGTTTCAAAAAAACTGAAAAATCACTGCTGTAGAATGGAACTGGAGCCCTGGTGGCACAGTGGTTAAGAGTTTGGCTGCTAACCAAAAGGTCAGTAGTTTGAATCTACCAGCCGCTCCTTGGAAAAACCCTATAGGGCAGTTCTACTTTATCCCATAGGGTCGCTATGAGTTGGAACCAACTTGACAACAACAGGTTTGGTTTTGGTAGGAAGATCTGGCAATCTGCTCCCATACAAACTACAGCCAAGAAAGCCTATGGTTTAGTTCTAATCTGTCCTATAGGGTCACTATGGAATTGACTCAAGGGCAAGGGGTTTGGTTTGGGTTTTGGTAGAATGGGATTACGTGGATGCTCAAATACCACATAGGATGCCGGGGCAGACTCAGCCACAAGGCAGCTTTTCAGCTGAAGCCGTTGAAGCGGAAGGGGAATCAACGGGAAACCAAAGAGATTATCAGCCATATGCAAAGGCTCCTCCTTAAGAAATGGTATGTAAGCAAACTAAGATCCGTCTGTCCCCTCACTCCTAACTCTTCACCTGCACAGAGACCTTGCTTGTCCCCAACACCCTCTGCGCTTCACTCTCAGCGTCATCTGTTTTCTTGGGAGGACCTAAGCTCCATTTCTACCCGAAATCTCCCCCACTGTGAATAATAAGTTGATTTTCTGGCTTAGAAATCTATTATCTTTGCATATGATCAGCACACAAATACCCCTGGTCTAGCAAAACCGGCTCCAAAGCCCATGAAGCCTTACTCCATGTGGTCACTTCTCTGGGCCTGGTAACGCTGGCAAGGAGATGACAGCATGGGCCCCTGACTGACCAAATGCTCTAACTGCCCTACCATTTCCCCCTTCCTTAGTCTCTTCTGTGGAGCCTTTTCTTCTTTTTGGTCATTTAATGTTTTCCATTAGAATAGAATCTTATGTTGTTGTTTGCATGGAGTCAATTCCAACTCATAGCGATCCCACGTGACAGACTAGAACTGCCTCATAGTTTCTAAGGCTGTAATCTTTATGGGAGCAGATCGCCAAGCCTTTTCTCCCACAGAGGGGCTAGTGGGCTTGAACCGCCATTTGGTTAGCAGCTGAGCGCTTAACCTTTGTGCCACCAGGGCTCCTACCCTTCCTTTATTCTCCTCTTGAAAATTTCTTTAAAAAGTGAATGGTTTTTTAAAACCACTTTTAAAAGAATCACACCAATTTTAATTAATGGATCATATGAGATTTTTTAAAATATTTACTTCCTCAGATTTGCCTCTCTTTTTGAGCTTTGTAGGGCCAGGGCTTCCAAAACTGGTCTGGACATTTACTATGAATCTACATAAATTATGAGCTTACCAGAAATCTTTACCACAGTCAATGCAAGAAAGGCATTCACAATTTCTGCAGATAGTCACATGCTTTTCCACTTGAACTTTCTTCACGGATTCTCCACATGCATTGCATGTAAAAAATACCATTTTTAGCTAAATGATTCAATATTCCAATATTCTCTATCCAAAATAGGTTTTAGGTCTTATCCTAAAAACAAAACAAAAAACAATGATCTTAGTAAACTGAAACTTCTATTCATAATAAATGATTCAGACAGCTAACTTTTAAACCCTGATTTCACAAGAAATTAACTAAAAATAACAGAACCAAAGCTGATTAGAAGTTTACATAAAACTCTACCACTCATATAAGCAAAACTCATCAAGAATGGTAGTAACAGCCAACATTTATTGAGTGCATGCTTACCACGTACTGGGCATTATTCTAAAAGCTTTACATGTATTAACTATATGAGGAAGGGCTATTATTGTTCACAATTTATTTGAGGCCACTGAGGAACAGAAAGATTAAGTCATTTGCCCAAGGTCACACAGACACAGAACCAGGCTGACTTTGGAAATGGAAGAGCTTTTGGGTGTTAAGTGAACTTTCACTTTTTCTAATAACCTTAAACTATACATGTATGTATATACACATGCATACACACACACGTATGTATAACACATATGTATTTAAATACATGGATATGGATATATCCACCACCTGTCTTGCCAGTTTGTTGTACTGTGGTGGCTTGTGTGTTGCTGTGATGCTGGAAGCTATGCTACCAGTATTTCAAATACCAGCAGGGTCACCCATGGAGGATAGGTTTCAGCAGAGCTACCAGACTCACAGACTAGGAGGAAAAGGCTGGTGATTTTCCAAAAATTAGACAGTGAAAAGCCTATGGATCACAACAGAACACTGTCCAACTCGCTTGCTACATACACGTCATCGGGAGGGATCAATCGCCGGAGGATGACATCATGTCTGGTGAAGAAGAGGACCAGTGAGGGCAAGGGCGTCCCTCGGTGAGAGGGACTGACGTGATAGCTGCAACGATGGACTAGAACAAGCTGGCGACTGTGAGGATCCAGGACCAGGCAACATTTTGTTCTGTTGTACATAAGGTCACCGCAAGTCCAAGTCAACGGCCTCCCTCCCTCCATCTACACACTCACACACACACACACACACACACACACACACACACACGCGCGCGCACACACTTAAAGAGAACAGAGGGCATTGCAATTTAGGTGTGCATGCATATTATTTCAGGCCCCCGAATAAAACAAGAATATGGGGGGCAGGGTGAATTGAGGGAAGTTTATAAAGTGGAAAAGAGGTCTAAAATGTTTCTATAGGAATGAGCAACATTAGTATAGGCATTCCTATGGATCCACAGTTGTTAAAGATATGAGACCTGCCCCTCAGCCTTGGTGGACAGGGAGGAGGAGGTGAGAGGGTTCTTTCCCACTAAGTCAGAAAGAAACAGAACCATATCCGGATTCTCAACTTCTGGGTCCTGAGTTACTGGAGGGAGTTCACGAATCCAGGTGACCCAGGCACTGCTGCAAGATTAAATGTGTCTGTACATATACACAGCCACCATTTAAAAATTTTATGGAGATGATATTGTGCTTAACAAAACACAAACTCATCCAAAAGTGTTACCGACATCACAGTAACTTTCCATGGTTATATAATTTTTTTAATCCCTAGATGCTAAGAGCATTGTCATTTTACTTTATAATAAGTCTCACAGCAAAAATACTGAGAACTCCTGTTTAACCTCAGCACTTTTCTCCACGTTATAAAAAAACAAACATAAGGATCAAGTAAAACAATGTGATGAAGTCAGGGAAAGACTTCAGCTAAGAATCCTTCAGCCAAATGAGCAACTCCTGGTTCCCAGAGAATTATCATGCATGAACAGCCATCTCTCCTCCCTTATATGTTCCAGATCACTACTGGTGAGGTCACGCCCAAGCAAGGGTCAGGGTCGGTCACGTCCACTCAGCCTTGAATGGAAACGTACGTCCTGGCCTGCATCTCCAGGTCTACAAAGGCCCAGATGGTCTCCATGGAGGCCCCAGTGAGGGGACTGTCAGACTGTTAGCAATTGCCTTACGTGCTACGCATGCAATGCAGCCCCCGCCCCTTAGTCCCCTCGTCAGCTCACCACCAGGGCAGGTGAGTAAGGGAAGGTGTGTGGTCAACTATAGCCCAGCACCGAATCCTCAGGAATGCAAGCACGACTTGTTTGGGTAGTTCAGCAACCACCACCTTCTCTCATCTGGTCACTGCAAAGGTGTGCGACTTGAAGTCACAGACTGCCTGGGAGCTGGGATCCTGCTCACCACGGACAACTCCCTCCAAGCTCACTATTCTGAATGAGGCAGATAGATGGTCAACAAATGTCAGGGAGCATGATGATGAGCAGTCATCATGAGGGAGAACAGAGAGTGGAACATGAGCCAACCTGGCATTATCAAACAGCTGGCAGGTGCGCTTCTGTGTAAGCATGAGAGCAAATCATACATTAGCCACTAAGAAATGGACTGCCATCTGTTATGGATTAAACTGTGTCCCCCAAAGATATGTGTCAGAATCCTAACCTCATACGTGTGGATGTGATCCATTTGGAAATCGTTTTTTTTTGCTATGTTCATTAGATCATACTCAAGTAGGTATATGTTGAATTTATAGCTAATCACTTCTGAGTTATAAAAAAGGCGGATTAGACACAGAGACAAGAATCAAGTGGGGAAGAGAGACACTATGTGAGGAACGGAGGTGTGCCTGGGGCTACCAACAAGTAAGGAATCCACACAGCCGAGACCCTGATCTGGACTTTTAGCCTCCAGACTATAAGAAAGTAGATTTCTGTTCTTTAAAGACACCCACTTGTGGTATTTGTGTTACAGCAGCACTAGGAGACTAAAACAATCATACTCACAAGGTAGAAGTAACCACAATTATCTGCTGAAAATTCAAAAAGTACTTACAACGATACTCGTAGCAACCCTGTAAGTATAGGGTTGCTATGAGTCGGAACTGACTTGACGGAACGGGTTTGGTTTTTTATAATCAACAATGGAAAACACCACTTCAAACTTAGAGATAGCCTAGAGCATTCCGACCTTTGCTGCTGAGGACTAGTCTGTCTCTTGATCAAGGGGGAGAGGAGGAGGGAAGAGAGGAAGTTTTAGCTAGCTGCGGGATCCATTCAGAGGCTCCTCGCTGAACAGTCTGTCATGGAAGGACAGGAATTAGAGGCCTAGAAGGACAGCTGCAAACAAAATTTAACACCTGAAAGAAGCCAGGGATGTTGACAAAGATGCTCACGGTATCTGCAAAACATGCCATCCCTCTGGGGATCAGCCACATGCGGTGTAAACACCAACTCAGGAGAGGATTAGCACTTGGTCACATGTTCATCGGAAAAATACTTTCCAACCGTTTTCATTCAGTCTCTTCCGACAAATGTCCATGGTTAGATATTTGACTGTTTTGGTTTTAAAGGTAGAATGAGGAGACTGCACAGGAAGCCAGTGGCTTCCTCTGGATTTTGAGGGCAATCGCTACATTTTTACACTTGACATGAAATGGGAACAACATGTCCGCCTGCTTGGCTAATGAGATCAGGTCAGTAAGGAGCTTAAAAAAACCCCAGTTTCCATTGACTAGGCTGACTCAGACTATGTGAGGGGCTTACCTCTCCCTTATTAGAACCCTGAGGATCCAGCACCAGACAAGAGTCACCTTGCACAGCAGAGCTAGCCCCAGAGAAACATCTTCCATGTATGAGTGAACATCATGTGTGTACTGGGGCAGGGCTGCAAAGCACAGCAATCTCACCAGCGGCCTTCCACACCATCTTAACTGCACAGCAGACAGGGTGTCCCAAGTCTTAGTGCAGGCTTAATAATTCCAAAAGTGAATAAGCTACAAACTTACGGAAAAAATCATTTGAAAATTCAGCCCCCTTGAGGTTAGCAAATGTTGCTAAAACAAAAAATTAAAACAGTATGATTCAGATTTCACAACTCTATGAATGTGAAAGAAACTTAAATATACCTTCTCCTCACTTATCGATTATCTTGTTATCCAATATTTCACAATTACAACAACAGTAAAAAAAATCTACTATCCAACTATTTTGCACATTAAGGATGTATGTCTGGCAGTAGCAAACACCTGGTATGAGGTGAGAATAATGCTGGGTTTGTGGTGATGTGGTAACTTGGCTGGGTCACAGTTCTCAGTGGTTTGGCAGTGATGTAATGATGTAATTATCCTCCATTTTGTGATCTGATGTGGTCATCCTCCATTTTCCCATAACACCAATTTCACGTAATGACCTGGTCTTTGGAACCTAACCATGTAGACAAGTGAGGAGAGGGTGTAATTAAACTTTCAAATGATGATTTTGATTAAGTTTCTAGCATTTATACTTCTGCAGTTATTAAAGCTTAAAATAGCATTAGGGTTTTTGGGACAATTTTTAGCCCTAAGTATAAAGAGATGGCATTTTTTATGGGGCTGGACCCAAATGAGAGTCCCCTTTTTCTTCTCTGCTCCCCAACTCTGTCTGTGCCCAGTGCCTGGGTCCCAGTAAACCAAGCAAGATTTCACGAGCTCTCCCTTCTAGAGATACGGGTGCGCTAAAAGAAAGCGGCAGGCAGAGAGCGATGATCTCGGACTGGTTGACGGCACACTTGGGGATTGTGTCCCAGTCAAGTCACTGCAATGCACTTCAGCAACATTTACTGAGTGTGTCTGGCATCATGCTGGGCACTGGGGACCCAGACATACCAGACTGCCCACGCTCAAATTATATCAGGTCCTCCATGCGTTCTTCTGGCTATCCACCCGCCTGTCTGCTCCATTTGTTGAGCCCCCACCATATACTACAATCCGAGAAGATGATGATGAGGCCTGAAATGTTTCACATTTATAATCACGACTATACCCAAACCCTCCATGACAGGTATGATCACACCACCACTGTCTGCGAGACAAAACCAAGGCTCAGAGAGGATAAAGGATCTGCTGGGAGTCACAGTCACATTAAGCGGCAGAGGCGGATTGTAAGGCCAGGCAACAACCCCAAGTGCCTACCTGTCGATCTTGTCATGACGTTGGCCATTTAGAGGTTACTTTTCAGCATCCTGGGGCCCTCACTCCCTCATCTGAAGAATCAAGAGCTCTACAAGATGACCTTCTATTTTAAAATATTAGGACCGTAAGTCTTAATTCTAAGGGCAACCCACACTGGGCTAAGGACCTTGGTGTTGGACAGTGATGGCAAGTTGAGGGGCAGTGGTCAGCAGTTGGTAAAGGGCTGGGAACTTGCGAAGGGCTCTGGGCACCAGCCTCTCCTCTCACCAAAATAGTGGCCATACTCTGTTGGGTTGGGCCTGGACTGGATCAGAGGATCTGAGCTAGAGCTTGCATCTGCCAAATAATCACTGAGTGACCCTGAAGTACTTTAACTTCCCAGAATGTTCTTTTATCTGTAAAATGGGTCTAATATCTACCTCAGAGCATTGTGCGGAGAGCTAAATAAGATACAAGATGCGAAAGCTTCACCCTTACCCAACTGTAGAAAGGTTTCATGGTGATCTGTTAATTTGCACATGAATGTTATTGCACCCAGTCCCCTCCTAAACCCACACTCCTTTACATATGACCCCCATCCATCCCACCCACTCATAGTGACCTTATATAGAACAGGACATTGCCTAGTCTGGCACCAGTCTCACAACTGTTGGTAATTTTGAGCCCGTTGTTGAGCTATTGTGTCAATCCATCTCACAGAGGGTTTCCCTCATTTTCACCGACCCTCTACTTTACCAAGCATAATGTCCTTCTCTAGTGATTGGTGACGTGGTCTTATGCATTCCCGTTTCTCTTCTACCCTTCTACCTACTCTACACCCTCTTCCCTGAAACGTGACCTTGGATTTGTGTCTGGGGATTGAGATTTGGAGTGATTTTTCACCTTCCTCCCGTTACATTTTTGATTATTTTTAACATAATTACTTTTTTTTTTAAACAAAAACAATATCCATGTTTAAAACATATCTATGCACACAGACCCAAAACCTATCACCATCACCACCAACACCACCATGGAAACAGCCCATCTTCCTCAACAGGCCACTGGGACTGAGGGGGCCAGGGTGGTGGTCCCAGTACAGGTCCCAATGAGCACTGTGACCACAAGAAAATCCCTGCCACCTCTGAACTTCAAGTTCTCCCATCTGTGAAACAAGTGGTTGGCCGATAAGACTAGCCCAAGCTCCTTCCCAGGGCAGAATTCTAAGAAACAAAGAGTATGGTTCATGGGAAGGGAGGCAAGTTCACCATCCTGCCTAAACCCTTGAACGGGGAGGGGCGACGGGAGTGACAAGGGCTACAATATGCATTCACACAGAACCTCTCCCTTACTCCTTGCAAAAA